CTGTCCTATTCAAATTTCTATTTTCTGCCTCAATCCTCATTTTACTAAGAAAATACAAGCAATGAACAAAAAAATGAACATCTTTCTACCACCAGTTTACCAACAGTGTCTGTATCCACACACTTACCCACATTCACAAGCTCACAGCACACACATTACATCTCTACTTAAACTGAGGCCTTCTACTTGAGTTTTGGGTCAGATTTAACCATCAGCATGCAGTAACCTTGTTTCTGTTGTTTATGAGCCATCTACATCCACCATAGACCTGCTCACATCTTCAAAGGAAAGAAACAGCCAAACAACAGGCCACTTTTTCACCTGTGCTCTTTGAACATCATCCATGCAGGGGTTCTTGGGGTTATTAATATTGACTATCAATTGATAGGATCTAGAATTATCCAGGGCATGAGCCTCCAGGAACATTTCTGAGGGATTATCTAGATTAGGTTGGCCTGTAGCACGCATGTGAGAAATTATCTAGGTTAGGTTAATTGAGGTGGGAAGATCACATTCCATGAATGGAGCTGGAGACTGGAGGGAAAGGAGAAAGTGAGCTGAGTTCCAGGATTAATTACTCTTTGCTCCTCGCTGTTGATAAAACCATTACATTAACCAGCTATTGTGTGATATTTTGTTTGCATTTTGGCAAATAAAGCTTGCTTGGAGTCAGAGGGCAGAGTTAGCCACTAGTTAACCATAGAGGTTTGGAGGACTGTAGAGAGAAGAACAGGAAGTGGTAAGGCAGGGCTGAGACAGGATCTCGGCCCCTTTTGGTCAGGGGAGCTGAAGAGGTAGGAAATCACTGATGACTGCTTCCCTGCTTCTCTGATCATTCAGGTTTTTACCCCAATATCTGACTCTTGGTTTTTATTGATAGGATTAATCAGATTTGATCATCATCTGGTGCCCCACATTGGGTGCCATAGGTAATTGGACATTTCTTGTCTCAACCTCCTGGTTCCAAATAACCAACTCAGAGATTGAATATGAATTATAAATGCTCAGCCAATAGTTCAGGCTTGTTACTAGCTAACTCTTATACTTAAAGTAACCCATAATTTTTATCCATATTTAGCCACATTGCTTGGTACCTTTCCTCAGTACGGCATTTTTATATTTCTTCTCTGCATTTGCTGGTGACTCCCTGACTCTGCCGTTCTCCTTTCCATCATCCTTAGTTTAGTCACCCTCCCTACACTTCCTGCCTGGCTACTGGCCAACCAGTGTTTTATTAAACCAATTCAAGTGACAAATCCTTACAGTATACAAGAGGATTATTCCACAGCAACCAGCGACCCCAAACTCCAGCTGCCATGCTTTCCTCATTATGATGGATCCTAACCCAAAATAAACTCCCTCTCCCTCAAGTGCTTAAGTTACACAGCATCAGGGAAAATCATAGGTAAGCACCCCCTCCACACTGCATTACCTCTAGTCTGTCACTCCACATAACCCAACAATTCTGACACAGAGGCTGTGAAGTCAGCCTGATCCTGTAGTAGCATCCAACGTTCTCACTCCTCAGGGCACCCACCTGCCCAACCATTCATGGCAGATATGCCTTTTATCTCAGGAAGGTTTGTTTGAATTTGCAAAGGTAATTCACCCTGACTTTCCTCCATATTTCCTAAACACCTCACCTTTGTCTTTCCTCCATTTCTAAATATAAAATATTTTGATACTTACATGCTGATTTCTTTTTTATTTATACTTAATTTCTAGATTTTTTTCATATAATGCAATGACTTTAATCACTGCTTATTCATAATAACAATTAATAAAAGTCATAAACACTATGCAATGGGAAGTATTATAATTAATTTACCTAGTCTGATTAATTTTCAGGGAAAATTAATTTTATTTTTCAGATGGTTAAGCAGGATCCTTGGCCAAACTGAAAAAGTTGCACAGTACATTAGGTGCTTTGTTCTGTTTATTTTATTCCAGAGCTCATAACTCTCAACACTACAATAAGCTAAAGACTTAGTTTCACAGTCCTGACTCCTCTGGGAACATGTAGTGTCTGATTTCCTAACTTCTTACCCAATACATACACATGCATTTGGGCATTTCAAGTACATTTAAAAGGTAAATAGCAGAATATAATTCTGCATCCCATCTCTCTTGATCCTCCAAAGCCCTGTGTCTCTGAGATGATCTCCTGCAATTTTCACTGAAGTAACTGTGATTCTTATTCCATCTTGCCCTCAAGTCAGCACTAGATGCCCTGCACCTGGACTCTCCATCACCAGGACTTCCACGGACCCTCACTCCTACTTCACTTTAGTCTAGGCTCCTGGTGGTTCCTCACAACATCTAGGAGTGAAATAGATTTTTACTCCTTTTGTTGTTGTTGCTCAGCCTTTCCCTGTATGGCCTGTTTTATTTTTTCTCAGCATGCTTATGACCATCTGACATAAAACATTTTTGCTTATTGTCTCTCTTTCCATTAAAATGACACCATCATTGGTAGAAGCACAATTTATGGTGAGGTAATTCTCTACTTCTGCCAAATCTTCTACTGATCCTCCCCTAAAATGGCTGTATGCTGTTTGCTCTCTTTCTTCCTGCCTCAGTTTCTCCCTCTCTAAAGGTATTTATTTATCATGGGGCCTGCATAAATGCTACTGTGTTTGTGATATTATGATCCTCATAATTTCTTCCATTAAAATGTTATTCTTCTATTTTCAGACAAATTTTCTTTTGACTTCAGACATCATTTTCAGTGTCTACCTGAGAATATCATGTCTGTGCCTCCTTTTTTATTCCTTATACATTTATGTTTAATTATACTTCCAATGTAATTAACAAACAATTGTGGATGCTCTCACACCTGTGTGACAATATTACCATTATATACCTTACTTCCCAAAGGGCAGACATAACAGTCTTCATGCAGCAGTCACTCAATAAGTATTTATAGCAGTTACTTGGTAATACTCATGGTGGTTTGAATAAGAATGGTCCTCATAGTTTTATATTTTTGAGTGCTTTGTCCCCAGTTGATGGAGCATTTGGGAAGGATAAGGTGATGTGGTCATCTTGGGAGAGGTATGCCACTGGGGGTGAGGGGAATTTGAGGTTTCAAAAGCACATGCCAGGCCTTTCTGCTCTCTGCATCATGCCTGAGGAAAAGATATAAGCTCTCAGCTACTACTCCAGTACCATGCCTACATGCCAGCTGCCTTGTTCCCTGCTATGACGGTCATGGATTCTAGTCCTCTGAAACCATAAGCCTCAAATAAGCCCTTCTTTAAGTTGTCTTGGCTATGGCATCTTATTACAGAAATGGAAATGTAACTAAAACAATAAACCACTTTATGAAAAAATAAATTTTCAACTTAGTTATATAACTGTCTACAAATGTATCTATTTAGAAGCATCTATCATTGTTACTATGGTGAGTCACATGTTAAGACTCTTGTGTTTATATTTTTTATCTTTTTCATATCCATGTTTTTGACAGTAAAAAAACAAACAAACAAAAACATTTGAAGCTGTCAATGGTTGCCCATCATTTACATTTCCTGGAATTTTGTTTCTGTGAATTGGAACCAAATGAAAGGTGTTCCTTTCTCACATTATTTTTGTCTAACCAACAGGGAGTGTGTCAACCTCCCCATCGCTGTTAAAAATCCAAAAAAGGCCAGGCCCCAGCACAGACTCTGCCTCCAGTAGCTGTGCCCCTAATCCCTTCTCTTAGTGAAGGCAAAACAGCTTCTGTTCACTGGGCTTGTACTTCGCATGCCAATGCTAGCCTCATGGATTAGATTGGCATAAAGAATAGCTGCTTTTGTCTCTGGTGGCAATCTATTTTTTAAACTTCATTGTCTTATGTAAGAGGACGAAATAGAAATCACAAAATAACTGAAATTCTGTTTTATTTGTTGAACTTGTAGAATATGAGATTTGTATATAATCTAAAGATATCTGCCATAAATGTCAGTCGGCCGTTTGCCTGTGGAAACCAACAGCTGTACTCTCTAGTATCACTTTCTTCAAAATCTCCATCTCAAAAAGAGTCAATATAATTACTATAATTTATTAAATCTGTATGTACTCTCTTTATTGTATGTTTAGCATAATATGACCAATCTCTGGGTGCAAAATGACACATTTATTGCATAATTTTTTTTTTTTTTTACAAATAATCTAGTTCTATTCTTGATGTTTTGTTAGGAAAGTAGAGGGAAAAATATAAAATGTGCCTTGCTACTTTCCTATGGAGAAACACAGTAGTATAGGTTTCTCTCCCTAAAGCCTTTTGTTCTTCTTAGAGAGCTGGACTCGCCCTGTAGCAGTGGCAAGTTCTTACTTTGAGGACTGTGTCACAGCTTTGGCTACTCCTAAAAATGTGAGTCAACATGTATGTGCATGTTCATATTTTAAACTGCTGTCTAGCAAGGTTATTATAAATTATGCCTATGTAGCATATTTTTTAACTCAAATTCAAGGTACTAGGGCCACCCTTCTAAGCAACCTAAATTAAACTGTAATTTAATTTTATCACCTAATAAAATGGCCACAGTGTTTTAATATGTGTCATCTAAGAGCTGATGATGACTGTTTCCCTATGACTCTTACAAAGTTGCTGGAAGAGCAGGACATGATGCTCAGCCTTGAGGAAACACTGCACTGTTTGTAATATGTTCCTGTGGGGTTTCTGCATAGGAGCCTCTAGATTGGCTTCCACCATGTTCTTTCCATTGGCAGCTATGGTCAGCCTCTGTCACAGGGGGCAGTGCTATGGCAGGAGCTGTGGAGCGTCCTTTGTGTCTAGAACCTTCTAGTTCTTATTGGATGGTGAGTCTCACCCTACTCTATTCATAGCAACAGCCCATCATGATTGGCTTGACATTGATCTCTATGACCACAATGAGGATTTTTTTTTATCTTCTAGAATGTACTTTCCACATATCCATCATAAAAAGTAAAAGATATCAATTACATGTGATATATATATATATATATATATATATATATATATATATATATATAAAATCAGCCTTTATATAATATAAAATACAGATCCTTCCTAATATATAGGTCACCACAATCATACTTTGTGTGTAGATGTACAATCCCCACACAGAGTCCATCTGAAACCAGAGTGTGACCTTAATTTGAAGTGGAGACTTTTCACTTCTAACATGTTAAATACCCAAAAATAAACTTATGAATGAATCCTGGGATTTAGAAAGAGATGCCAGGAAAAAGAGTGAGATTTTTAGGGGACACACAAAGAAAGAAACACAAAGTCAGGGGTTGAACTTAGCAAAAGCAGCTCTCTGAGGAAGCACAACCCTACCAATCCTTGCCTGTGAGCGTCTGTCACCTTAGTGAGGTACAACAGAATGATGCTCTTTCAACATAACAGCTTGACTGTGGCTCTGTGTGTGCAGCAGTCTGGGGAGACTGAGACACTATGCCTTTGACATCCTGCATCTGCTTCTTGCTCTGTTTTTCTTTTCCCAAATGTTCCTCTCAAATGCCCCAAAGAAATCTCAGGAAAACAGCCCTTTTAATAAACATTCATGTATTTAGTATTCAATGCCAAACAGATGTGCGTGAGCTCTTCCGTTAGCCTGCCTTTCACGTTGATAAATGAAAAACTTGTAAATAAAGGTGAGTTGTGGCTCCGTTCGACGCCGCATGCCTGCAGTCCCAGCAGCTGACAGGGAGAGGCAGGAAGATGACAAGCTGAGGTCAACCTATGGAAGAAAAGTTCTATGTAAGTATTTAGATCGGAAAACTGTGTATGTTACCTGTAAAAAAAGAAGTGCCAAGAAAATATTTTACATATTGAAACAATTTTGGAGGACATCCCTTATGTCTTGGAGGCCTTCAGTGCATCACAATCCATTGTAAGCAACCCTGTCTTTCTGTGTGCAATGCAAAATCCTGCCACACCCACCGTGTGTTTCCTTTGGGAGGGAAATCATTTCTGTAGCTCATAAATAGTGTTCCAACAAGCTCGTTTTTCAGACTGAAGGTTGCCTATACAAAGCCCCCTGGTCACCCTGCTTCACATTAAAGCCAATGAAACACAATGAGCTGCTTAGCGCTCAGCTCTAACCTGGCTCCTTTGTAGCTGAGGGTAATGCAGAGCCACAGGGGTGTGTGGAAGCTGCACCATGTGGCTGTCGGCCTTCTGTCTTCTTGTAGCCAACAGTGACCCTTGTAAGGACACAGTAAACAATGGGACCGCTAAGGTGTTTCTTCAAGTGCCAGAGGCAGGTGAGAGACTGATATAAATCAAACATCTGTCCCTGAACCTTCTCTAAGGTGTGGGCCTCAGGTATCACTGTGACCGGGTGTAACAGTCTGAGCTCAGACTGAAATAAGGGCATCTGGTTCATGCTCCAGTGCTACCACACCTTAGCAGACAGACTAAGGACACTTCCTACTCAGGACCTGTTATTAAAGATGTTCTGGGGAGGGCCATGCTCTGTAAAGTTTCCACAGATGGAGCTGTTTGCTGTAGGTCTTAGGTTACATGAAAGGCATTCATGTTAATTTGAAAGGTTTTATATTTTAAAGAGGAAAATATGTCTTCCTGACCTTGAAAGTTTGGCATTTGACTGAAATCTATCAGACAAAAATATATCTCAATCAAAATATACAGTGTTGGAGTCTTGTGCTTAATAAATGAATTAATATTCTAATATTTTATAAAACTATGTCTCTTTTATTTACGTGCACATAAGGAGAGAGAGAGAGAGAGAGAGAGAGAGAGAGAGAGAGAGAGAGAGAGAAAGAGAGAATGGAAATTAAAATTATTCAGGTATGAAAGATACACAGTTATCCTAAGCCTGCCAACTTCCAGATTTGGCATAATAACAAAAATCATGAAGACAGGTAAAATAAGAGTGCAGGAGTTTTAAATGATGTGAAGATAATTGCCCCACTACATAAATACTGTTTTCAACAAGCAGATGTTTTGTTACTCACATTTCATCTGTGAATATGGCATGGCTATCAAATGTGTTTTCTTAGTGGGGGAAAGAATTTGTGTCTGTAAACAAAGCAAGGTCTGTAAGTACAGGAAAAGTATCTTAGAACAAGAAAGGTCTCTGGTTCAATGAAACCTTGGTTTGTTAGTTTTGCTTGGTCACTCCATCTCAGACACAGAAACACAGCACTTCCATGCCCATATACCTGAGCAGAGGATCTCTTTATTTATAGTCTCACTAGCCACAGTTTCTGTTACTAGTATTCCAAAATACTTAAATAAACATCTCATCAGTTATGCCATTTTGTCTGACATAAAGCAGTCTCAACCTACCCCCACTGACCTCTCCTTTGAGGTTACAAATCATTCCTTTTACAGAGTATCCATGCTCAAACCAAATCAGCAGTCCTTCCTTCACACTGTTGGCATTGATGAAAACTCGACTGCACATAAAAATGGCTCCAGTGGCCAAATATTGCAGTGATGGCAATTCAGATAAGCCCACAGGGAGCCATGGAGTTCTCATTTAAGGGAGAAGGTGAAAGTTGTCTACTTAATAAAGAAAAGAAGGGACATGGAGTCTCTTATTTGTACTGACAACACTTGGGAGGTGGAGGAAGGAGGAGCAGGAGTTCTAGGTTCAAAGCCAGATTAAACTGTGACTATGAGATGCTGTCTCAATGAAAAGGGAGAAAGAAAGACAGACAGAAAGACAGGAAGGAAGGAAGGAAGGAAGGAAGGAAGGAAGGAAGGAAGGAATAAAGGAAGAAAGAAAGGCCATGTCTTATGAAATTGACAAGATCTATAATCAACACAAATCCATTCATGAAATTATGAAGAGAAAAAAGAAATGTGTGCAAACAGGTTTCACTTCAGATAACAGAAGGCAGGGGTGTTATATGTGATGAATGTCTGGTTAAGACAAACAGGCACTAATCACAGGGTCAAGGCTGTGTGAGGCTTGGGATGTTGAAGTGTAATCCTTGCAACACAGGGGAAGCACTGTTTACCTAATTTTTGTCAATATTGAGTAAAAAAAATGGCTAAATTTGCATTTTTCTGCGTGGTTCTCAAACACACCAATTTCTTTTGACAATTTTTTTTTGATGATCAAAATAATGTCCAAAAGCATGCAGGATCTGCCTTTGAGTCTATTTTTGTAACAGATATTCTCTAGCTTCTTTCCTGTCTTGAATGAGTTTGCAGTTTAGATGGAAGTACAATGAAGATTCAACAAAAAAATAATAATAATTGCTGAATTGAGACTTCAAAGCATTAAATAAATGGACAGTGTGAGAGGGAAGAGAAAGAGAGAGGTCTCTAATGGATCAGTTGGAACAAACTTTGACCCTGGTATTTTATTAAATTATTAGTTCATGCTACAAGTGCAGATTGACAAATTCCTTAGTGACATTTCTAGACATGCATGTGTCATGCTTCGGTCACCTCCAGGAAAATAGATTATTCATCCCCCTGCCTCTGCATTCCCCTGTCTTAAAATTAAAGTGACCTTGGTTTCCTCATATATCAGACTGCCTTCCTCTAGCATGGGAGACTCTCATGGTTTTGTTTCAGAATCTCTCTCCATGGCCTCAAGAGCTCTCTGAGCAGATGTCAGCTGCCTCTTTGATATTTGGTTCACTGGCATTTGCTAAAGGTTCCTGAGAAAGAAAAGTGATGGGACCTTAGACTCTCATACCATCAATTCCAGACAAAACTGCTCAAGGTATCCCCAACCCCCACAAGTGCTTCAGAGAAGTGGCAGAGTTCCCTTGTATAGCAGTTCCACTGTCCTGAGGACACTTCTGTACAGGACTGGGCCCAGGATGCTTGTACTCTCTGGGCTCTTCTGTCTTCCTCCACCCTCTGCTGTTCAGGCCCATCGTAGTCTAGACTGGCACACTCCATCTCATCCTCTGTCTGGTGTTCCACACTCTCTAGTTCTCCCAAGCTGCTCACAATGACCTTCAGCACCTGCTGATCTCATCTAGTTTCAATTCTTTCTTGTGTCTTCTGTCTGATACTGGATTATTTTTAATAAGGACTTTTTTTATAAGAATACCTGTGATTGCAAGCATTTTACCCTATTTTTACTATTTGTAACATTGCTGCTGAGAAAATGTGGCATTGTAGAAATGTTTGCCAAAGACAAGGAGACTGTGCTTCTGCCTTGCCTTCCTGGGGTGCTCATTCTGGTCGTTGCTAAAATGATGTTCAGCCTGGAGTCTAACTCTGACTCCATGTTGGAGAGCACTGCAAGAATCGTGTCAAGGGATCCAGGCTTTCCACACAAGCTATGTGTGAAAGCACGATATTCTATAAATGCCTGCCAGGAATGTAGTAAACAAGCCTGGAACACAAACTTCACACAATTGCTAAATTTATCCCAGTGTCTAAAAGTACACATGGCCTAAAAACTCCATGTTTCCAGAATGAGCTCCATACAATTTTAAAGGACATCATGTTCCCATGTTTGAGAGATATATGGGGCTTAGAGAGGGGGATTTATCATAGTAACTGAAATTAGGCTGAAGTAAAATAAAACAAATAAAGTTCAGAAAGGTAAGAAAAATACCCACCACACGCATCAATCTGCAGGAGCTGTCAGCACCAGGAGTCCTGAAGGAAAGCCACAACAGCAGAAAGAGCATCACAGGCCTGCGGAAGCCTCTGCTTTGGAAACTGACTTGTTTGAAAGTTAGTCTTGCTATGAATTTGTCTGTTCTTTCTTTAAGACCAAGAAGGAAGCTGGGTGCAGTGGCTCAGATCAGGATATCATGAGCTTGAGGCTAGCCTGGAATATCTCAAGAAAAAAAGAAAGGAATGGGACAGGATGAAGGGAGGGATTAAATAAATAAATAAATAAATAAATAAATAAATAAATAAATAGGAATAGTTACTGAAGAATAAATTTATCAACATGGGTCTGAGAAAATTCGAAGTGCTGAAGGCCACTGCTGCTTCAGGCTGGACCTTTGTGCAGGAAATCATAAAAGCTCAGTTGGTAAATCAGGTGAACATGTTTACTTTTCTTAATAACTAGCTACAAAGTGTCCATACATTACAATTGTATATAAGCATATAACATTTTTCCAACATATGTCACATATGTTTGCCTGCACTGTGCCTAAATAGGACAGCTTACTGCTGTGGTTCTTATTACCATGACCCTGAAGATCATTACATGTCTTGTTCTATGTTCTCTCTCTCTCTCTCTCTCTCTCTCTCTCTCTCTCTCTCTCTCTCTCTCTCTCTCTCTCTCTCTCTTTCTCTCTCTCTCTCTGTTTACATAGGTTTAGTTCCTGTCAAGAGAAATCTATAATGGATAATTAACAGCAATGGACAAATAGAATTAAAATTCTATTTCAGGGTCTCACCCTCTTCATCTATTCCAACAATGCTTTTTTGCTGGGGCCCAGCCCTGGCAATGGCCAGGTCCAGAGAGGAGGTCAGGAGTCAGTGAGGGAGGTTGAGCCAGGCCAGAGGATCTCACAGCCTGACTAATTGGCAGTCAGAGTTCTTCTTCATTTATACAGAATTCAGTAAGCAGGGATAGATTCATGTTGTTCCAAAACATAAAGCATATCATTTCTGTTTTTGGACACATTTCACTTCCTCTTGTGTATTTTTTAGTCATTATTGATAAACCATGACAAAATAGTTATCCAACTTGTAGGCAGCTCTTGATGTTTCAAGCATATTATAAAGAATCTCCAATCTAGTGCAGGCAGATTGTCATATTCCAAGCAGTGATTGTATTATTAACTCTCAATGGTCAGGCCAAAGATGTCGCAGTATTTGTTCTATTTCTTCAACAATACAATATTTACATTTTATATCTTTATAGAATTTGTTTATATGCCTAATCCTGGCATCCTTTGTTCCTTGGCTATATGACACCACAGTGGCTTTGCAAGACCTAACTTTTCTAAGAAAGAGAGGTCCTGACACCTCATTTTTTTTCCATTTTCTTTATTAAGAAATTTTCTACTCACTCCACGTACTATCCACAGATTCCCCCTCCTCCCTCCTCCCACCCCCAGCCCTCTTTCCCAAGCCACCCTGCATCCCCATATCCCCCAAATCGAGGTCTCCCATCTGACACCTCATTCTTTTATCATCTTTTCACACCATTCTTTGCCAATCAATGTAAGTCCCTGCACAGGGCAGAGTAACTCCCGCTGATCTAACTTTGTTGTTGTGTATACCATGTAACTGCCTGAAGATACAGAAGGAAGAGACTTTTATTTTGTTGTAATTATCTTGTTCCTGAGTAAGAAGAGGAACAGATGTTTCAATAATATCTCAAAGCCTCATAAAGAGATCTCTGGCATCTTTATGTGAGTCACAACCCCAATGCATACAGAAGTTCTTCAAGATAAGGATATCTCCCTAAAACTGGGAGGGATGGTATGCTCAGGACTTTCCTGGGGAAGCTTAGAAGGCATAAATGATTCATAAGAAATTTCCCATTAATCCAATATTCCCAAGTTGTACAATTAGAAGCGCCAAGCATGCAACATGTGGAAATTAAAACCAAAAGTGGCTCTGCAGTCCTCACGTGGCTCAGCTTTGCTGGATCTTTGTCAAGTATCTGTGCTGGCTCTATAACTTCTGCTGTTCCCATCAGATATGGCTGTGCCACATTCCAGTTTGTAAAGGAGCAGAATATGTCCTGTGACTCTATTTTCCCATGAGCAGCAACCAGGAGACCCTGACTCAGCTCAACCACGTTACCGTCTGCCAGTAATTCTAAGCTATTCATCTTCTCAAATTGCAAACTTTTTTCTATGACCACGTGATAGTTCAAGTATGAAATGTTTGAACAGTGGGCCTCCAGTGGGTGGTACTGTTTGGGAAGATTGGGGGACCTGTAGGACCTGGGCCCAGCTGGAGGAAGGGGGCTCCTGAGGGTGAGCTTGAAGGTTATACTCTCTTCTGATGCCAGGAGGACCTCAGTGCCACTTGTATCCATCATCCCCTCTAGGAAGTCTTCCATGACTTCCTCACCATGAGCTTACATAAAAGCTACCTCCATTAAGCCGCTTCTGTCTGGTATTGTGTAGCAGTAACAACAACAACAACAACAAAAGAGTTAACAAGGATCATAAATTCTTCTTTCATATGTCACACACACACACTGAAGTTTTACAAATTAATATGTGTGTGTGATATAGCAATAACAGTTAAGAAAAAGAGGTCCATGGTCTCAGGAGGGAACAAGTAGGGGATTTAATGTGAGGAGATGGGGTCAGGGAAAGGAAGGTGTGGAATTATGTACTTCCATTTTAACTTCAAATAATTAAAAATTTTAAAAAGAAAGCAAATAACAGAAAAATGCTTGTGAAATTTAATTGGTTTAACAGAAATTTCACTGGTTTAAATAGAACAGTTTATGCCTGGCCTTGATGCAGAGGGAGGAGCTTGGTCCTGTCTCAACTTGATGTGTCAAGCTTTGTTGATGTCCATGGGAGGCCTGCTCCTTTCTGAACAGAGAAAGAGGAGGAGTGGATGGGGGTGGGGGTAGAGGGGAGGTGGAGGGAAAGGAACAGGAGGGGAGGAGGGAGGGGAAACTGTGATCAGGATGTAAAATAAACAAAAAAATTTTAACTAATAAAAATAATTAATTAAACAAAATAATAAATAAATAAATAGGACATTTCAGCTTTAATATGAATCATTGCACATGGCAGGGAGGAGTGTGTGTAAGTATGTATAGGGGCAAGAAACTGTGTAATGCCATAATGCCAGGTGTAATGGTAAACATTGTGTAGACTTGGTTATGGGTTGTCCACGTGTTTGGGGACATATCAGTCTATCTGCCTGTGAAGCTGTTACCAGATGATAGTTATCCAAGTCTCCCTCATTCATCAAACCCCTGAAAGGCTTGATTAGAATTACAAAAGCTTCATGAATAGGAGAGATTTGCTCTGCCTTTCTAGCCCCATTCTGACTAGGACTTTAGTCTTCTCCAGCTCAGGACTCAGTATGAACTGGATTTACACCCATAAGAATCCTGTTACCTGGGTCCCAATTTGAACTAGACCTCGGGCATCAGTTTCTCTGAATCTCTGATGTTCAGTGCAGATTACGAAATGCTCAGTTTTGTAGTCTGTGAGCTGGTGGCTTATAATGCATCTCTTCATTTGCGTAGCCACACAACGACACGTTGGTCCGTGATGGAATGTGCAACAATGGTGGGTCCCAGGAGATAATAATCAGCTAGCAGTGGCTGTCATATTGTGACATCAAAGCCGGCATACAGCCATCATACAGCATCACACAGCACTCTATGTATCAGTCCTATCTGTGTTAGTGTCGACGCTGGTATGAGCAAGCCCACTAAGTTGCTGGCATGTAAGAAGAGTATAACACCTACAATGCCTTGCAGTGTAGAACACTTGACTATGGTGATAACTATGTTACTAGTTTACATATTAACCACTCTATACTTTTATTTTAATCATTTATCTTTTAACATGTGAAGTGTATTTCCTATAACATCTCAGAGTGCTGTGCTGGCAGCAGCCCTGGGCAGGGTCATTGTTGACTTTACTTGCTCTAACTGCCAAGTCCAGCTATAAAGCTGTCATGTCTCGGTCTGTGTCTGATGCATTCACAAATAAATTCACTTAACAGCTGGTATTGTCAGGAGCTATTCAGACCCCAGCTAACATACTGAGTATGGTATGTTGTTTTCGTGGAGTATTTTGAGTACAAGATAATAGGGACCAATTGACTAAGTCAGTCAACAACCTTTTGAGTGAAGATGAAATTTGAGGATGGTTGTTGCACTTGGTTCCAAGTCTTGAAGCATGAAATCAAAGTAATTCCTGATTGCCAGCTGGAAGTAGATCGTGTAAAGTACTCTACCCTGACAGGGGTCTATAAGTAGCTTAAATCTGCACTATTTAATACCCACTGTACATATGAGATGCTTAATTTTTATGTTCATTTTTAAATTTTTAAAAAATATTTTATGCGTAGGGTGTTTGTGTGCATGAATATCTGATACCATGTGTGTCCTTGGGGCCCATGAAGGCCAGAAAAGAGCAACTTTAGAAATGGGGTTACAGATGGTTGGGAGCTTCCATGAGGATGATGGGAATCAAACCCATGTCTTCTGCAAGAACAGCCAGTGTTCTTAACCACTGAGACATCTTTCCAGACCAGCATTTATACTAATTATGATCAACAAAACTGAAATTCACATCCTAGGCACCTCCAGACATGCCCCGATTGCTCAGTAACTATGGGCAGCTGCTGTCACACGGAAGAGCTCTGGTAATGAATTCATCCAACATGAGGAGCATCTGTGGGGGAGGGCTGCTCTCAAACATCAGAGCTTTCTGAGACTCCGTGACTGACTCTAGAGAAAGAACAATAATGAACATGTCCCTAAATAATCACAGGATATTTAAGAGAGATGAAATTCCTCCAGGAATTTCTTGTAAATTTGAAGATTCATCAATGAAAGCCTGAGGGTATGGTTTAAATTGGACTGTTTTCTGATATCTTGTTAAGCTGTATGCATTTCCAATGTATTAATTTTAGTATAATTTTACTCAAATTTAGGAATGACTTAGTGACTAAGAGCACTTCCTGCTTTTCCAGAGGACCCAAGTCCCAGCATCCACTTGAGGTCGCCCACAACCACCTGTAACTCCAGCTGCAGGTGATCTGTGCCCTCCTATGTCCACCAAAGGAAACTGTATACACATACATAAAAAAAAATAAAATCTAAAGAAATAATTTCATCAAAATTGAGGAAGTGTATATGGAAGTCGAACTTCCTTCCTGGAT